GAAGGGGGGGGCAGGGGGGTGCGCATTGTAGGGGCTGGGGCAGGAGGAGGATAGGCGGTGTGGGCGCAGGAGCGGGGGGGGTGTGGGCAATGAGATCCGAGAATGCAGACTACTATGTTGGAACAACGATGAAGTTAGTCGGTTGGAAGGGGATATGAAAGTGGTCTCGAGGCAGGCGTTCCCATCGGGCTTCCGTTGTCAGCCACCGTTTCCATCGCAGATGGTTGTCCGGGTCCAATTCGCAGAGCCTCTGTTCGTTATCCACCTATAGCGTGCGGAAGTTGTCTGAGAGGGCATTACGTTTGACTGCATCCGGTTCGTTTGCCAGCATATTTCGAAGCTCTTGCCAGGCCGCGTGTGTACTGACCGTAATTGTTTCCTCGATTGATGCCTGTGCTTCCATGTACCCAAACGTGTGCTGTTTGCGTTCGTGTGCACACTTCATTCGCCACGCTGCCATCAGCATTGGTAGGCGTGTTGTGGTGAACAGGTTAGTCATAAAGACCGTCCATTGGGCCATTTGTGGTGTCATTTCCCCCAACAGGATTACTTTGATATCCCATGGTATGTGTGTTCTTGTGAGGTAATGCCATGCCGCGTCCCACCAGCTCCACAGTTGGGCCACCATGGGGCATTCCAGTAGACAATGTTCCAGGGTGGCTCTTCTTTTGGGGGACCTTGTTCCACAGCAGTAGCTGCAGAGTGGGGACAGTTCTCGCCGGATTTCCAAATTTGTTGTGGATGTGATCCAGTCCGGGGTAGGGAGGCATTTGTGGATGATCTTCCATTGTAGAGCTCTCAGATTGGTGGGTCGGATTCGTGAATAGGAGGACCAATTTAGATTGTGCAGGTCCTCTCTTTTAAGGGGAGATTCTTTGTCCCAGCGTGATCCAACTAGGTCTGTGATGCGTGCTTTCTGTCGAGCTATCCTGTATCCATTTTTAACCGTGTACTGCCATATCTGAAGTGTGCGGCTCCCCGCCTGGTGCCATTACCGTTCCTGGTGGTCAAATGGCAATTGGCTGAGGGGGGTCAACAGCTCATAGGCATACTGACCATCCTCCCTGTCATTGAGGACCCGGACTCTTATGAGCCCCGTGGCGGGTCTCTGGCGGTCCAGGTTGTCTTCTCCGAGCAATTTGGACCACCGTTGTCCTGGAAGTCGGGGTCTATAGGCCTGGAGTGACGCTGTGTGATCATTTACCTTGTCAGCATTGCACAACACCATCGGGATTGGCCAATCCTCAGGCGTGGCGACCCAGTCCCCTGGTCTTATCCTCGGGCCTCCTTTTAGCTCTGATATCCAGGCCAATGAGATGGCCTCCTGCAGTTCTTGCAGATCTTGAAGTTTTCTGATACGGGCCATTCGCGGGCGAAGTTACGGTTTGGTATGCCATGAGTTCGTTTGGTCGTTCCATAAGTCACCAATGGTATACATCCCCTTTTTCACCCACGGCATCCATTTTGAGTGAGTGTGGAGTGAGAAGGGGTGGCCTGTAGTTCTTTTGGGCCTGATGGATCCTAATTGAAGATTCTATTGTCTGATACTGTGTATCTGGCCTTGGCCATGGACAAGGGCCTCCTGAGGTCTAGGAGTACGTGTTTTGGACCTGATCCATCCCACTAGAAGCTTCTAATGGGTCTGATCCTGTGTATCTGGCCAATGTACACCAGAGGTCCAGTACTACCAGAAGCTTCAAGCGTTTAGGCCTACGAAAATTGCGGACAAATCTATACTATTGATGATGTTTGCAGATGAGTCCCTGTCTGCACACCTTTCAGAAATATCATCTGCCTCGTGACTTTGCAGCTATTTGCAATCAGACTCGACTTATTCACACTTTTCATGCACGTGAACAACAGCACAACAAACTGGCGCCATGCGCCCACACAGTACACAGAGATATGGCTTCCAGGTAAGTTCACTTCCACTGGCTATGGCGACTGAGCGCCCAACATCTCACTGTTCACACKCTGGATCACCYTGGATATCCCACACTCGACACTCTACACACTCGCGCAGCACACACACACGCTACWACAGCTATGGCAGCGCTAGCTGCCACTACCCTATCGCTATGCTACACTTCTCTGCCCACTTCGACTTCGGGCACAMTGCAGACCTCCTCGCACAAGCACTGAGGCAGCGCTTCCGCATGGCTTCCGCAGGAATGAATGAATGGYTGGGCGCAGCCTCTTGATTTATACTTCTGTGCCTCGTTGGTCTGCCCTGCTTCCCTGGCCCACGGTGCACACAGTCCCAGACGGTACTTGCTGGACAGGACCGGACTGACTGAACTGGGACTGTTGACTCAGCGTGGTGGACCTACACCACTTGACCACTTGCCTCTACCGAAACAGGGGCTGGCTCCAAAAGGCCACTTCTAGAAACCTCTACTTTGGCCCTTCGGGACTGTAGCAGCTACGACTCTGCCCTTTCAAGTGAGTAGCAGCTACGACTTTGACCCTTCGGACAGTCTACAGCTAAGACTTCTAGACTGCCTAAACTCCTACCCGACAGACCTACAGTTCGAATCCTCTATACCTTGTAACCTACGAGATCCTACCTACCACTGGCGGTCCTACAGGGCGCAGGTTCAAATCTACGGGTTGACACGGTTACTGTACACAGGTAAGGTGAACTAAGGTGGGGAACTAGGGATCCAGCCCTGGGATCTGCATCAGCTATTGCGAAGTGGTGAATACCGTTTCACTCCCGCCGGCCTAAATTCGAGGTCCTCCGAGAAAATTTCAGTCCAAGGCAGGACCTTTACCTTTTTGTTGCCTCTCGTAGGCCCGGACTATATCGGGAGCTGTCTCTAGAAGTTCAGATCTTGTAAACCAGCGGTCGTCTTCCGGCTCTTGATAACTAAAATGAACCTTGTACTGTTTCTGTGGACGACCTCTACCTCCAGTCCTGAATACATCTTCAGCTACTATGCCATCGATGTCGTATCTTCCATCCATATCTGGTGGGATGATAGACCTACGGGATGGAAACTGATCACTTGTTTGACACGGTAACAACTTCGATGCATGGAAAACTGGGTAAGTGTGGAGGTGTGCTGGGAGTTCTATGGTATAGGACGGTCCATCTTCGCCGCCCTTGACTTCCAGAACCGGCCACGGTCCTCTGTACGTAGGCAGTAACTTCTGCGAAATGTTCTCTTCAGGCACAAACTCTTTAGACTGGACCCAGACCAAGTCGCCTACCTGGAACTGTGAGGGGCGACGGTGCTTGTTCGCCTGTTCGATCATGCGGTGCTGGGCCTTCCTGAGATTCTCAACAACAGTTGCTATCTCTTTTTCGTGTTGAATCGCAAACTCCCTTGTACCGGGCGGTAGCCTGTGAATCTGGTCCCGGTTAAGTCCCTCAAATGGTCTTCGTGGTCTAAAGAACTTATGGAGCTCATTGGGAGTGCGGCAGGTGGACAGGTGTAGGCTGTTGTTGTAGGCGCTGGCTACCTTGGGAAGCATCTCATCCCAATTGACTTGATCAGGCCTAATGTACATGCGCAGGACTTGCTGCAGGATCTTGTTCATCTGTTCAGTCTGACCGTTCGTCTCTGGACGACGGGCAGAAGACACCAACAACTTGGATCCGTAGACCCACATCAACTCCTGCCAGTTCAGACTTGTGAACCGGGTATCTCTGTCGCTAACTATAGACAACAGAACCCTGTGTTCACTGACCCAATGATCAAAGAACTTCTGAATTGCTAATTCTGTTCTGGCCTCTGACGACAAGGGAACAAAAATAGCATACTTACTAAATCGGTCTACTACGACCATAACTTGGCTCTTGCCATGCCTACTCTTAACGCCGGTGTCCATTAAGTCAATGGACACTGAGTCTCCTGGCTGATCAGGGATAGGTCAAGGTCTAAGAAGACCTAAAGGGGCACGCGTAGTTGACTTATTTCTTTGCCAAACTTTACAACTGCGAACATACTCTATGCAGTCATTTTTCATTCCTGGCCAGGTGTACGCGTGCATCAGGTTGGCTAAAGTCTTCTGCCAACCAAAGTGTCCTTCGGTGTCGTGACATTCCCCTAAGATCAAACTCCGGATCTCTTCACTGTTGGGGACGCACAAGCGGTCCACGACATTAGTCTTCTCAAACAACAACCCGTCAGTAGTGCGGTAATATGGTTCGGACTCTGGGGTTTCCTTAACTCTCTTAAGGAGCTCACTATAGATGGGGTCCTGCGCGTACGCTTCTTTAACTTTCTGTTGTAGGTCGGACCTTATATCTAGATAATGGACTATGGCCCCAAAGTAATCAGCTCGCCTACTCAGAGCATCCGCAACTACGTTATACTTCCCTTTGGCTGGCTTGAGCTCAAAGTCATACTGGTCTATTTCTGCGGCCCACCTAGTAAGCTTAGGTGTCATCTTGGCCTGCGTCTTTAACCACCGCAATGTCTCGTGGTCAGAATAGACTTTGAAGTGCCTCCCAAGCAAGTAGTGCTTCCAATGTTCTAATGCTTGCCTGAGAGCGTAGAGTTCCCTCTCATAGGTAGATGTCGCCACCTTCTCTGAAGGCATCCTAGCGGACATGAACTCTACGGGTCTATAACCATTGCCATCGTCTTGCTGCAACACCGCGCCTATGCCGTACTGGCTAGCATCCGTAGTGACGACAAAGGGCAAGGACGGATTGGCTACCTTAAGGACTGGATATTCTATTAATGCCTGCTTCAGCTTCTTCATAGTAGATGTGCAGTCCTTATCCCACTTCTAGATGGTCTCCTTCCTGAGCAGTCTGCGAAGGGGCGCAGCGATAGCGGAGAAGTTCCTCACGAACTTCCTATAGTAGTTAGCTAAGCCCAAGAACGACCGCAACTCTGTTAGTGTCCGCGGTGTGCGCCAATCTCTAATCGATGCAATTTTACAGTCTTTTGGCTTGACGCCGTCTCTGTCTAAGACGTGGCCTAGATATAAGACTTGGGTCTTTGCCTAATCGCACTTCTTTGCATTGATCTTGAAGTTAGCTTCTGTCAGCTTCTCCAAGACCTGCATGAGATGACCCTGATGTTCCTGGAGGGTCTTGCTAAATACTAAGATGTCATCTAAATAGACAACAACAAATCTATCTAACCATGGCCTAAACAGATCGTTCATACAGCGCTGGAGCGTCGCTGGCGCATTGGTTAGTCCAAAGGGCATCACTATAAACTCATAGTGCCCATATCTAGTCCGGAAGGCTGTCTTATACTGATCATCAGGATGCACCTCTATCTGATGATATCCGGACTTCAAATCTATCTTAGAGAAATACTTTGCCCCCTACACTCGATCCAGAAGATCGTCTATCCTAGGCAGTGGCTCCACATTCTTTACTGTAACAGCATTCAGACCCCTATAATCTATACACATCCGCAACTCTCCCTCTTTCTTGGGGACAAAGAGAACAGGTGCTCCAAAAGGAGATGAACTAGGCCTAATCCAACCCTTCTCAAGGAGCTCGTCTAATTGCTTGCGAACCTCCTCTAACTCCCGCGGGGACATCCTGTACACCGCACCCTTAGGAGTTCTACCGCCAGGTTCTATCTCAATGCGATGCTGGATGGGCCGCGACACTACTCCTGTCGGCGGCTCAGCTAGGTCTTTAAACTCCTCCAGCAGTTTGGCAATAGCAGGGTCTATAGGCTTCTCTTCCTTAGGCTCAGTCACTGGCCTAACATAGGCTACAAAGACCTGTTCTTCTAGGTGCTCCTTCTTCACGAATCTCGCGAATGCAGGTGCACTAAGGCAGCAATGTGCCAGGGGATTCTCTACTCCTGACACATGGAACATGCGGGCAGTCTTAGCCTCGCCTGAAGGGCTAGGGAGCTTACACTCGTGCTCCTTCAAATGGAGTGTGGCCCCAGCTGCCTCTCCCCAATCCATCCCCAAGACAATATCGAATGGGAGGCTGTCTTTTACGAGCAGAGTCAGGGAGTGGAGAACTTTCTCCACTTTCCCATCTTTCTCTAGGCGGAAATACGCCTGGACTCCCTCTACATAATCCTCTACAACCATTGTACGGTTGTCAGCGAGGATACTAACTATGGGGTCTGTTAATTTCTGGACTTTAAGTCCCAGCTTCAACTTCTGCAGCGCTTTCCTACTAACATAGCTGCAGGTGGCCCCTGAATCTACTAGGGTCCCTACTCTACCTCTAAAAATCTCTATATCTAGTAATATAAGCTGCCCTTTATTCTCCTTCTTTATCTTGGCCCAGGCGGGCATCCTCTCCTTCAATTCATCAGCCACGCCTGTGAGGGAGGTGTCTAGAGAGACTCTAACACAAGCAGTCTCTGGACAGCGATCTAGACACCGGCCTGCAACCTCTGCCATAGGCACATGTGGTGTGGGAGTCTCTTGCCAGCAAGCGCTATGTTCCCCACGTGGCCTAATGGTAGGGGCAGTTGCTACCCCTACCGACGGCTGCCTTTTGGCCCTTGAACAGCCGTCCGGGTCTCTCTATACTTAGGACAATATTTGATGATATGGCCCGGGTCACCGCAGAAAATGCACTGGCCCCGGTCCAGACGTTGTTGCCACAAGGTCTGGTCCAGACCCAGACTTTCCCAAGGCTTACCCTGAGGTAGCCCTGGGTGCCATCCACCTACCCTGTAGGGAGACCTATTCCTAGGACGGTTTTGTGGGGGACTTTGACCCCTTCCTCCCGCTTGGCGGTTTCCTCCTCTGTCGCCAACCCCCTGATCGCCCTGAAACCGGCTCCCTAAGGCCCGGCCCCCTTGGCCCTGGCCTCGTCGTCCTCCTTGCGGCCTCCTCCCAGCCGCGACAGCAGCGTAAGTCCTCCCCTGGCTCACACCACTGTCCTCCTCCTCTAACCCCCACTCAATCTGCTCGTAGGGGATCTCGTCCACACTACCTTCATCTAAGGTAAGGACAATGCTATCCTTGGTCTTGACTTGCCCTGAGATAGTGCGGCCTTTCCATTGCTTTCCTTTGTCGAGGTCTTTGTGCCAGAAGGTAGAAAGTGACATTGACTTCGCCTCGAAAGCCACCACTTCACGGCTAAGGGAATCATAAGTGGTGGCAGGATCTTCGCTCTTCGCGAAGAACTGCCCTCGAAAGGCTTCGGGCATGGCCCGATAAAAGAGGTCGACCAATTGGGCCTCTGTGACCCCATGGTCAGGGACAGCCACCAATTCATCCATCGTACCCTTGAGTGCCTTGACACTCTTCCATTTACGAGCGTGGATGGTCTGGAGCTTATCTGAGGCCTCAACATTGCAATCGACATCAGCAAATCGCTCGCGCAACAATTTCATGAAATCAACGAGGGGGGTGAACGATGAGTAGGCCACTGCATCATTGTTGCAGTTGGCAGCGCGGACTAGGGACCTTGCGAAACTGGCGGCCTCATCTCTAAKYGCATGAATGGCAATTAACACGTGCTGATTTGGGGAGACCTGTTGCAGATGCACATAGGTCTTGACGTTGGCCTCCCAGTTGTCAAAGTTTTCTTCCCTTTTCCCACTGTAGGAATCAGGGAATTTGACTTTGACCGACTTCCTACGAGGACGCGGCTCCTCCTTGGGAGCTGCCACCTTGACGCCCTCAATGGCGCCGACGCAAAAGCGCTCAGTCTTCTCGAGGCGATGATTCACCTCGGCTCCTACGGCTCCTACCAATTCGCGGGCAAAGTCCCGAAACCCCATCTGCATCGAACGCACAGCTATGTCCTGACTTCGGCTAAACTCGTATTGTCGTTCTTGCACCCTGGTTAAACGATCGACGCTCTGGGCAATGATATCCACCTTTTGTTGGAGGTCTACCTGGGGGGTCAATCGCAGAGTTAGTTTCTGCACCTCCGCTAATTCCTGCATTGTTGCACTCGCCGCCTCCACTCTTCTTTTCTTCTCCCTCATTATTGCGAGTTTCCACACCATCCTCGTTTCATCTTCCATCACCTGCCGCTTCAGAACATCTTCTTCTTCTTCCCATTTCTTCATAGCGGCTTCTTGCTCATCCTTGGGGATGTACATAGTTACCTCTTCTTCTTCGCCCAGGGATAAGTTGGCGACCCATTCTGAAAACCGTTTCTCCATCTCTTCGCCACTGTGCTGCCCCTTCCTCCTTTGCAGTGGCGTTTCATCTTCTTCTTCCTCTTCCATCTCTTTCAACCTCTCCTCTTCTTCCTTCTTCAACCTCTCCTTTTCTCTAGCCATCTCCTCCTCTATCTTCTTCAACTTTGCCGCCTGCTCCTCCTGCAGGGCCTTCTTCTTGGCCTCCTTCTTCTCCTTTCTCTCCTGCAGGATGGCGGCCATCTTTGCTTCCTCCTCCTTGGTATACGGCTTAGTGGAGGTACCACCCCGGGTGTCTGCTCTACACGTGAAGGTGTGCCAGAACCCCAGGGGAAAGAGGAGGCGCCAAAGGGTCCCCCAGAGGGAGAACCCAACAAGCAACCCATACATCGGATAGTCATCCATCGTGGTGTCAGGTGCACGACAAAGGTCCCACTCCTCACCACGTAGACCTACCCGGACACTGACCCGCTGACTGACTGACTTTCTAAGGACCACAGGGTAGAACCCTGTCAGCTATGGTCGCTAGCGTAGACCTACTCTTAAGGCTGTCACTACTGAACCAACAGCTAATCTGGAGGCATTTAAGGAGATCCCCCAAACTCCGCAAGAATTCTTTAACGTCGCACACAGGACGACGTGATCAGCTTGGTTCCTGCCTGTGCTTTCAACCCACAACTCAGCCTTTCCGGCGTACTGTGCCACACCAAGCAGCCCGCCGGTCTGTACCGGTCCTTGGAGGGGTTCGTGTCCCCCGGGACAGTCGAGTCGTCAGACACAGATCATCAGCCTTACTTGGTCCGGTAGGGGGGTGGTTCAAACAGGCCCTCAACACTTAAAGACTACCTGGTGTGTCAGCACTGGCTTTCGTTCAGACCCACTGAGTCCTACCAACCGTTTCCAGCCGGTCAGCACCGGTCCTTGGGAGGGTTGGGCCCCCCTGGAAAGTTGGATCAGCCACAGTATCAGTCCTATAAGGTCAGCTCAGGGTTTCGTCATCCAAGCCTATCCTTCATCCACAGAGTGCTAGCACCTAGGACAGAAGAGACTCGATGCAGAAAGAAAAGACAGACAGACTCAGATTCAGCAAGTACCGTAGGGTGAGTGCACATCCACAGGGTAAGGGGATAGGCTAAGGGCTCATCGAAATATCACCAACTCCAGCTTGGTCAAAACCTTGGTCAGCAGCTCCGGTCAACGCCTTGGTCAACGCTGAGTCAACGCTCGGTCAACCCTCTGGTCAACCCCCAGTCAACCCTCCGGTCAATGCCTGGTCAACCCTCTGGTCAACGTCTGGTCAACCCTCTGGTCAACGCTCGGTCAACCCTCCAACTTGGCTATGGCTGCCGGCACCTTCACCTTCGTCGCCCTCGTCTCTTCCTTCCCCTTCCTTTACCTTCTTCTTCCTCGCTGTCTTTCTTCTTCTCTCTCTCTCTCTCTATATATATATATATTTATTTTTTTTGTCACCTCGGCTATGTCTGTCTTCTTCTCCAATACCCCTTCCTCTATCTCTCTCCTCGGTCCCTCCTTCTCTGTCCGCCTTCGTCACTCCGTAATACAGCTCCGCGGCTATGGCCGCTTTCTTCCTCCCTCGTGGGTCTGCGCAGCAACTTCACAGGTACGTAACAGCCAATCTTGTATC